TGGGAGTAATATTTTGCTCGTCGGTAATTCTGAAAAAGATAAGAAAATTATTGTCTCCAATTTTACTCAAGTGATCAATATCATGAATAGTATAAGTTAGAATTCACTCATTAGGATTCACGTAAAGAAAAGCGTTCAGCCAAACGCAAAGTGCATCGTTTTATGCTACTTACCATACACCGCCAATGACGAGGTGCGCAATGAGTACTAGTATAAGGAGTACTGAAGGGTTGGATTGTGATACACCGTCTGAAACAGGTTACAGGGGATAGGTTTATTTTATGGAAGCTTCAATCTCGAGAATTTTGTACAAATAAAGTAGCACTGAGCGCTTTGTAATCCTAAGATTGTTAGTTAGCAATTTACTTTGTGTTTTGTACATAGCAACTTCGCAAGACTCACCCAAAATATAGTACACTGTTACATCGGTACCCGAGGTATCTCTGGCACGTCGAAGTAGTTGGCTAGAACCCGGTTCGCCTCCTTCTTGAACGATTTTCCCCGGTGATGCTTGCTTCGGAGCAGCGGGTAGTTGGTTTTCCGCCACTCCGTTCGAATTATTTGGGTGCTCCTGCTTTTCTGGTTGATGGTTGTCATTCCCAGCATCAGCAGGAGGTTGTTTTCCGTCATCATGTTTACCTTCCTCCGATTCATCTGGATTAGGTTTTGTTGAATCTCCTCCTGGTTTTGTCGCAACTGTCGTTATTTCCGCTGTACTTGCTTCTGTCGTGGTTGCAGCAGTAGTTGTGGTCCCCAACTCTGCACTCACTTCAATTGGTTCTTGAGATGTAAACTGATTTTTCGTCCCTTGGGGGCATAGAGTTTCCGATACGCCTCCACTGGCAACCGTCACACATTTGGTACCACTTGTGCTCTACAAACAAGTGAATAGCCGGGTTATAACTCAGTTAGGGTAACTGCTTCTTAGTTCCGAAAACGCTTGAATTATTTCCTTTTTACTTACATTAACGTAGACCTTCATCGCTTTACCCGAATCCGATGTGACTCGGTACTGACAGCCGGTGACATTGCTTTGCACGACAACACCTTGTGCTTCACTTGTCGCAACAACATCTTTGCAACTCTGTGCCTCCACAGCTGATTATCGTTAATAAATAATACTGCGTTACTTACCGAGAACCCCGCTGACACAGAAAGTTATGAACAGGATTTTCATGACATTGGACTTCATGTACATTGGTTTGTAGTTCACTGGTAGACACTGGCTTTTATATTGTACCTCGCACACATTTATTGATAGGATGAAGATGATTTGTAGCTTTCTCACTGATTATTCACGTGATTGTCAGAATCGGGGACTCCAAAATGTTCCACCCGCTTGTTGTAGATGTGATTCATCAACCAAACGAAAGAACTTCGATGAATTGCTGACTATATAAAAACCAACCATTTGTCGTCATTTATGGAAACCTAATGAAGAGGCATTTATTCTGGGGTTTACCACAGTCATGAACAAAACCAATTTTGTAGCTTGTTTCCCCTCTCAGTTGTAAGAAAAGAATGAGGTTTCTAACGCGCTGGTTTAGTCAAAACGTAGAATCATCTATTGATGTCTCTGTATTTACAAAAGATCCGGTCTCACGGGCTCTCACGTACTCTTTTATCAGCTGAGTGAATATCGTAATATCAAACACGATGTACTGACCGGGATACCTGCCTGGGAGTAAATGTAGTTTTCCCTGAAATCTTTCTTCTCGTTTATTCCAACAGTTCACACAATGATGCCATTTGTTTTGTGTGAGGTATTTAAATTTTCTCCATAACTGTAGCAAGTTTTAAATCGTGGTAACGGAATAATGCTAACAGTCGGAAGTCACAGCTGTCTGAACATCATATTTTGATTGAGCATTTTCCTTCGATTTCGTTGGTTTCCTGGATGAAAGTTCAGTAGCCTTCCACTCCCCTGCAGGATGAGCCATTATCAAGTTGATTCATGTCAAAATGTAGTTTGCTTCTTTTGACACAGTAGAGATCAAATGTGATTTCACAGTGTAGAAAATCATGCTCGTCTAATAATTACACTAGTTCCCACTGCACATGTCTTCTACAAGGTGGACTGGATCTTTCAGATGTTGATGTTAGGTATTTAAAAAAAATCTTTTGCGAGTAAGAGTTGTTGCGGTAATTATATATAAAATCCTGTAATTCAACCTGAATTCCTCCGAAAAATAAGAAAGATATTTAAAAAAAAATTGAAGGTAGATTATGCATGTATTGCACTCAATTTCTTTCACTTTACTTGTTGGATGTCAAAATTTAGAGATATTTACTTACTCAACAGTATATTATCTAACCAGATTGATAAGGAAAATCAATGCTGTCACCCGGTGGATAGATTACGTGGTATACACGTATATCTTGTTGGTCCAGAGCGCGTGACTTTTGGTACCTTGATGAGCAGTCAAACGTTTGAACATAGTACAGCTCATTGTATAATATTTGTGATAATCCAGCACGGCAGATGTCACTAGATTGGCAAAAATGTAACGTCAGTGAGTCCATAACCTGATCACACGTATATTACACCATTGCATTGCAACTGGTTACTAAAAAAATATTTCACTTGTTTTCAGTGTTAGAGTTTTTGGATTGCAAGGTGCCTGAAACTTTACATAATAGAGAAATGTCGGCGAATATAATTCTCTGCCGACATCGCTATTATTAACACTATAACATTCACAGGAAAAGTGTTTCTTTGAAATATGCATTGAGGCGGTATATAAAATCAATGAGTTACTTCTTTGCATAGCAAAGAAAAATAACTGATATTTTATCAATTAATAAACAATCAAGTAAGTGCAGAGCCCTATGTTGAAAATCTGCCCAAATCAAGCAAATGGTCGCTAATTTATTACGTGTAAAATAAGGCGCACTGGTTGTAAAATGGATTCCCGTGTTTTTGTTTATCTTGGCTTAGTCGCTTCACTCATTCGTGATACATTTTCGGTTTATTTAGAAACCGAACAGTCACAATTTGTTCGCGTTTAACTAAGAAGCAAACATGCACCTCGCANTCTCCGATTCATCTGTATTTGGTTTTGCTGCGTTCCCTTCTGGTTTGGTCGCAGGTTTCGTTATTTCCGCCGTACTTGCTTCTGTTGTGGTTGCAGCAGTAGTTGTGGTCCCCGACTCTGCACTCACTTCAATTGGTTCTTGAGATGTAAACTG